AAGCAGTGGTATCAACGCAGAGTACTGGTTCGCAGTTTTGCCTGACGGTCGACGAATCAATTGCTACGGCTGCACTCCGCTGAGATTGCCGGCCGATTTCGACTTTATCAGTCTCTTCCACGGAGTCGACGAGAGAGTCCCCGTCAGATCCCTCGTTTTCGGTGCCAAGGTCGTCGATCACATACTGCAGGAGGCCTGATGATGAGTGTCCCAAATAAGAAGCCGGAGGGCGGACCAACGGCAACCCTTATCCTGGACGGCCAGGAATACACTTTGCCCGTTATCGCAGGAACCACCGGCGATCGAGTCATCGACATTTCTAACCTTCGTCAACTAACCGGCGGGGTGACAACCTTCGACCCGGCATTCGCCAATACTGCGTCCTGCCGCTCGGCGATCTCGTGGATCGACGGCGAAGAAGGCGTGCTCACCTATCGTGGCCTACCCATCGAGACCTTAGCTAAGGAGCGCGTCTCCTTTGTGGAGACCGCCTGGCTGCTGATCTTCGGTCACCTGCCCACTGAGGCTCAACGCGACGACTTCCGGAATCGCTTGACCGAGTATTCGGCATTACACCGGTCGATGAACCTTCACTTCAATGCCTTCCCACCTAACGGCCACCCGATGGCGATCATGTCCTCGATGATCAACGCGATGAGCACCCACGACCGTCCGAGAATCACTGATGAGGAGTCCTTCACCGACGCGGCTGCCAAGCTCATGTCCAAGGTGAGGACGATCGCGGCTGCTTCTTATAAGGCGTCTATTGGGGAGCCAGCGATTTACCCGCGCTATGACCTCAAATATGTCGAAAATTTCATGCACATGATGTTTTCTCTGCCGTACCGCGCCTACGAGCCGGATCCGGTGGCGGCAAGAGCCCTCACCTGTTCTTCGTGCTACACGCTGATCACGGCCAGAACTGTTCGACCTCGACAGTGCGGATGGTTGGGTCCTCGGGTGCCAACCTTTTCACGTCGTGTTCAGCCGGAGTGTGCGCTCTGTGGGGGAGACCGCCACGGTGGCGCCAACGTCAACGCTGTGCTCGCCTTACAACGTATCCGCAATTCTGGACTCACCCCACGTCAATACCTGGCGAAGGCCAAAGATTCGGGGGAGAGGATTTCTGGCTTCGGGCATCGCGTCTACCGCAATTGGGACCCCCGAGCGAGAATCTTCCGCAGTGTCGTCGGTCCCGTGCTCGACACCATGCACAAACCGGATCCGCTGCTCGACGTTGCCATGGAGCTGGAGGAAGCTGTGCTGGCCGACGACTACTTCATCGAGCGCAGGCTGTACCCCAACGTGGACTTCTATTCCGGGATCGTTTTACGCGCGCTCGGCATCCCGCTGAACATGTTCACTGTCATGTTCGCTATCGGGCGGATGGCTGGTTGGATCGCCCACTGGAAGGAGGTTTTTGAGGATCCGACAACGAGGATTTCCCCGTCCTCGCGAGCTTTACGATGGTCCGGTATCGACTCCGTGGGTGCCACGCGGCGAGCGCTGAGCTATTTGACCCTAGGCTTCTTCGCGGGCGAGGTTTGGCCCGCCGGTGATGTCGTCGAGGGCTGAGGTGATCTCCTTAGGAAGACTGACCTCGTCAGCTCTGAGCAATTCTTCGAGCTGTGAGGTGGTCCTCGGTCCGACAAGAGCCGAGGCGACTACAGGGGCATCACGCACCCATGCCAGCGCGATTTGCGGGACCGTCGCTCCCAGCCCGTCGGCCGCTTTCACAATAGCCTCGACGACAGCGTTGGACTTGCGCGTCAGATAGGGCTGCACGAACCAAGACAGGCGATCAGAACCGCCCCGGGAATCCTTAGGGGTTCCGTGTCGGTACCCGGCCTCCCAGCACGCCGCGACCTAGCGCTGACCATGCCAGAAGTCCCATCCCGTGGTGCTGGGCCGAAGGAACGACCTCGATTTCAGCACGTCGAGCCAGCAAGGAGTATTCCACCTGGTTACTGACTAGAGGGGTCCGTGTTCCGGTTGCCCGCTGCCAGGTCGCTGCCGTGGCGGCCTGCCAACCCACGAAGTTGGAGACCCCGACGTACCGGGCCATTCCCGATGTCACGGCATGGTCGAGTGCCGCACAGGTTTCTTCGATGGGGGCATCTCCCCAGGCATGAACTTGCCAAAGATCGACGTGATCGGTGTGGAGACGGCGCAGGGACCCTTCGAGGTCACGCAGCAGCGCACTGGCGTGACGTATCGACGATTCTCTTATGACCTTCAACAATGAATCCCGCCTTGGTCGCTATGACAAGGTCATCTCGACTGATATCGGTATGGGTGAGCTTTCCGATGAGTTGTTCGGCGAACCCGCCTCCATACGCTGGTGCGGTATCGACGAGATTGCCACCGGCGTCAACGAAGCGACGAACCAACGAGCGAACCTCACGAGCGTCGGTTTGCCCGCCCCATGTCAGGGACCCTAGCCCAATGGCAGATACCTTGAGGCCGCTGGCCCCGACGGTTCTCATGCGCATGTGCATCCTCCTCGTCCCCGATCACCCTAACGGAGCACCCTCAAGCCGACCTTGAGACAGAACAGCGAAGCCTGACGTCTCCAAGCTCTTCATTGGCACCCCGACGAGCCTGCCGGGGTGGCATCGAGTGCCGGCGGCACCTTGGTGGAGACACCCAGCGAAACGGTCGCCAACCCGCGTATCTCGATCGCGTAGCTAGGGTAGGAATATGATTCGTCGCACCTTCCGACTCGAACGACCCGACCGCGTGGTGGTCGGCACCGTGGGCCAGCCAGGAGCGCGTGTCTTCCATCTGCAAGTCCGTGAGGGTTCCCGAGTCGTGACAGTCCGTTGTGAAAAGGTCCAGATCGATCAGCTTGCCCTTCAAATGGACAGGATCTTGGACGGTCTGGCTGCGCATGTTGCGGATGTATTCGTCCCACCGTCAGTCGACAACCCAGACGATCTGGCCCCTCTCGATGCGCCACTCGAGGAAGAGTTCGCCGTTGGGACGATGGCGATGGCCTTTGACGATGAGACTAAGCGCATCGAGATCGAGATGTACGCTGCCAGCGATGACGAACTCATGATCAAAGACCCAGCAATGCTGCTGACAACCCTCCCTGAGGTGGCCCCAGATTCCCTGGAAATCCTCATGACGACGTCTCAAGCTCGCCAGTTCGTCGCGAGGTGCCGTGTCGTCGTCGCATCCGGGCGTCAATACTGCCCATATTGTTCGCAGCAGATCCTCTCGGCCGAGGGCCATCTGTGCCCGCGGTCGAATGGCTACCGTAAGCCCCTGGTGTGGTGAGCGTGACGAATCCCTGGAATCTGCCATGTCCTCCCGGGCCGAGAGCTCCATGGCACGTTGAGGGGGCCTTGCCTGGTTCCAGTAACGGTGCGCTGCTGGTGCGTGATGCCGACCTTCGGCTGTGGGTGTATAAACCGACAGCCCGCAAACGTCGTCTCCACGATTTCCCATCGGGCACCCTCGCTAGGCGGGAGGTAGCGGCATGCCTCTTGTCCCAGGTGATGGGTATCGGTCTTGTGCCGGTGACGGTTCTCGTCGGCGATGGACCACAAGGACCTGGCTCGATGCAGCGTTGGATCGCCGACGACGTTGAGAGCCCTCTGGTTCGTGTCGACGTGACCGAGCGTCCTTCCACCGCATTGGCACGGGTTTCTGCTGGGGGTCGACGAAGATGATCGGGAGATTGGGCTTGCCCATTCTCCTCACCCGGCGTTGCGTGCCCTGGCCCTATTCGACGCCGTCGTGAATAGCGCTGATCGTAAGGGTGGACATGTCTTAGTCGGTCCTGATCCTGATCTCGGTGGTACTGCCCACGTCTGGGCGGTCGATAATGGCTTGACCTTTCACACAGATCCTAAGCTTCGAACGGTGCTGTGGGGATGGGCTGGTCAGCCGTTGGAGCCTGTCGAGGAGATGATGCTCGACGAGGTCCTTACCATTGCTGACACTGATTTTGAGGATCTCATTACCCCAGAGGAGATCGATGCGGTGAGACAACGTGCCCAGGGTCTTCTGGAGTTTGATGCCTTCCCGGGACCGAGCGGGCTGAGGCCTGCCTTGCCGTGGCCTCCGATGTGATGCGACGGACTGCTGCCGATCTGCGAGAATAGGGCGGCCACCTGTGGGTGGTTGGAAAGGTGTGTACTGTGTCCGACGTTCTCGCGTCCCTGCTTAATGCCCAGCTTGATGTGGGTCTAGGAAAGCCGATCCTGTGGCGTGAGGTCATTGGGAATCTATTCGGGCTTGCCTCGGCTCTCGGCGGTGCCCGACGTCGACTATGGGCTTGGCCAGTCGGCATTATCGGCAACGTCATCCTTTTCACGGTGTTTCTCGGTGGGGTATTTCACACTCCGCAGGACCTTAATCTGTGGGGACAGGCTGGGCGTCAGATCTTTTTCCTCGCGACAAGCGCCTATGGCTGGGTGGTCTGGGCAGCGACCCGGCACAATAATGGCGCGTCCCAAGTGGCCGTCCACCCGCGCTGGGCCACTCGTAGAGAACGCATTTTGGCGCTGACAGCTACTGTCATCATGCTTGTTGTTTTCACCTTCGCTCTCAAGGCATTGGGGTCCTGGGGTCCGCTGTCGGATTCGTGGATTCTTACTGGATCGATCCTTGCGACCTGGGGGATGGCGCGCGGCTGGAATGAGTTCTGGTTTGTGTGGATTGCGGTCGATGTCGTTGGCGTCCCGCTACTGGCCACGGCTCAGTACTACCCGAGCGCTCTCATGTACGTCTTCTATGGAGCTTTCTGCCTATACGGATTTGTGACGTGGTGGCGTGCCCAACGTGCGGTCACCGACGACCCCTGTCACTGACATAGCAACGGTCCGTCACGTGGGCGCATCTGTGGCGGTGCTAGGACAATCGGTAGCCTGGCAACTGTGAGCAAGACATTCGAGGAACTTTTCGCCGAGCTGGCAATAAAGTCACAGACCCGTCCTGCAGGTTCGGGAACCGTCGAGGAGCTTGACCGCGGAGTACATGCCATCGGTAAGAAAATCGTGGAGGAAGCCTCCGAAGTGTGGATGGCAGCCGAGCACGAGGGCAATGAACGGTTGGCTGAGGAGATCTGCCAGGAGATTTATCACCTGCAGGTCATGATGATTAAGCAGGGCTTGTCGCTCGACGACGTCTATAAGCATCTGTGAATTCCCGGACATTCCCGACCCGTCATCGTCATCCCTGATAATCCCTGAGGAGACTTCATGTCCGACTTGCTTCGCATTGCTGTGCCGAATAAGGGTGCTCTTTCAGAGGCAGCGTCCTCCCTGCTCGCCGAGGCTGGCTACCGCCAACGCACAGATCACAAGGATCTCACCCTGGTTGATGAGGAGAACGGGGTGGAGTTCTTCTATCTGAGGCCTCGCGATATCGCGGTGTATGTGGGGGAGGGGACCCTCGATATTGGTATTACCGGACGGGATCTCTTACTTGATTCCAATGCTGATGCCACCGAGATCAAAGGGCTGGGGTTTGGTCATTCCCGCTTTCGTTTTGCCGCTCCTAAGAGTCCCCAAAACACTATTGAAGGGCTGGCGGGAAAGCGGATCGCTACCTCTTACCCCGGCCTGTTGAGCGCTTTTCTGACGGAGCGGGGGATTGATGCTCACCTCATTCACTTAGACGGTGCAGTTGAGTCGTCGATCCGCCTCGGAGTTGCCGATGTAATTGCTGACGTCGTCGAGACTGGGACAACCCTGCGCAGGGCTGGCCTCGAGATTTTTGGTGACGTCATTTTGGAGTCTGAGGCTGTGCTGGTTCAACGTCGAGACTTCGCTGGTAGTACGACGTTTGATCACTTTATGCGTCGTATTGACGGCGTGCAGGTCGCTCGTACCTACGTCATGGTCGACTACGATGTTCCCGCTGAAGCTCTTGATGCCGCTACCGCCCTGACGCCGGGGCTCGAGGCTCCCACAGTGTCGCCGTTGTCCAAGGACGGCTGGTATGCCGTGCGAGCTATGGTGCCGCGTATAGTAGTGCAAGGCCTTATGGACCAATTGTGGGACGCTGGCGCTCGAGCGATTTTGTCAACCGAGTTATCTGCATGTCGCCTGTAGTCGGATATCAGGCAGTGATCGGGTTCTGAACTCCGGGACAGGAGTGTCTGTGAACGAGGGATTACTCAATCCCGCGCTTGCGCAAGATCTCCTCGAGTTCGGCGTCTTCGTCCTTATCGGCAGTCGAGATCGTGGGCTTCGGGCTGGAAGCAGGCCCTGACGTGGCCACCGGCGCGTCGGTTGGGGTCTGCTGAGCTTTTGAGGCACCTTGTGACGGGGCCGTACCGGTTGTCGGGGCATTATTACCTGTGGGATTGTGGTCCGGGGTCTTTGTAGAGCGAGGACCCTTGGTTTGCGAGTCGCCGCGCGCCTGCTTACGGGCAGCATGGTCTTGACGACGCTGACGTCCAGTTTCGCGATCGACCGGTGACATGATCCCAGACACAAACCAGGTAACGAGGCCCACAGCGATGACGATGATGCCGATCCAAATGGTCGTCGTCATGACCGTACCGGCGAACCAATCCACGACGAGGCGGATCGCCCGGACGAGAAGGCGCATCAGGCCAGTTAGTACCAGACCAACAGGAATGAGAGCTAGACCCACTCCGCGAAGCATGGCGCGTGAGGAGCGGCGGGAAAACCACCCCGACAGGGCCCACAGCAGCGGTAGGACGATCAGCACAATGGTGACGACGGCAACGACGGTCGGTTCGCTCATACCTCCACTGTTCCACATCCAGGGGCGTACTTGCGTTCTGGGACTCGCTGATTCTGGCGTTGACTGTCAACTAGTGTTCTGCAGGTGTCTGTTCCACTATCTCCGACCGGCGGCGACATGGGAGACGCCGATCCCCGAGCTCGCGCCGTCCTGGCCACTTGTCTTACTGACGATCCGGAGGTTTACCGACAGTCCTACCTTGAAGCAGTGTCCACGTTGTGCGCAGGAGTACGCCTATTCATGCCGGTGATGGCAGATGAGGAGGGGGAAATCGGTGCTGTGAAGCTCACTAACAAGTTAGGAGACACCGCTCTGTTGGCATTCACCGGGATTGACTCCCTCACAGCGTGGGACTCGCGGGCTCGTCCGGTACCGGGCCGTCTCCCAGATCTTGCGGCCACAGTGACCGAGGTGGCGGCTGATGCCCTTCTTATTGACGTGGCTGGTCCAGCGCCCCTCGTCATCGGGACTGATGTCCTCAAGCCAATCGAGGATGGCGGGCGACTCGTGAAACTCGATGATGGTTGGGGATGGGCGCGCAGCGGGGGGTTGGGATGACCCTGTCAGTTTCGCCGGTGTCGTCCTCTCGCTACGTTTAGCCCCGATTTGTGGCGATGTCATCTCTTGCCGTACCATGAGCGAAGCGATCAGGGCAAAACTGGTCTTGCGTAAGCGGGGGCCTGACCTCCCACCTAGGCGGATTCCGTTCGCCGGGTTATGCTGATGAGTTTCATCGGCTTGGCGGGATGTGTGTACATCCCACGTGTCAGGTCTTCGCGCATTCGCGAGGGCCTTATTTTGTATCCGGATCGTGGAGGCGCAGTTATGCGCCACGATCTAAGAGAACAGACATCCGGGAGGACCCCATCAGTACTGAACCCCGCATCAACGAGCGGATTCGCGTTCCCGAGGTGCGCCTGGTCGGCCCTAATGGCGAACAGGTCGGCATCGTCAGGGTCGAGCAGGCATTGCAACTTGCCCGCGAGCAGGACCTCGACCTCGTCGAGGTGGCTCCGCAGGCCCGGCCCCCTGTCGTCAAGCTCATGGACTACGGCAAGTTCAAGTACGAGGCGGCCCAAAAGGCCCGGGAGTCACGACGCAACCAGGCGAACTCCATCATTAAGGAGATGAAGCTTCGTCCGAAGATTGATGACCACGATTATGAGACCAAGAAGGGCCACGTTCTGCGCTTCCTCAAGGCCGGGGACAAGGTCAAGATCACGATTATGTTCCGTGGTCGTGAGCAGTCTCGACCGGAGCTCGGGGTCAACCTGCTGCGTCGTCTTGCCGATGATCTGACTGAGTACGCGACCGTCGAGTCTCCTCCCAAACAGGAGGGCCGCAACATGCTCATGATCCTGGCTCCGACTCGTAAGAAGAACCAGGCCAAGGCGGATCAGAAGGCTGAGCGTGACCGTCGCGCCGCTGAGCGTGCCGAGGCTGCTGAGGCTGATAAGGCCTACGAGGCTGCGCAGCGGGCTGCTGCAGGCACTGCGAAGAAAAAGAAGAAGAAGGGTCCGGCCGACAATATGGATCCTGACATTGACCTCTGAGCGTTGCTCAGAACCTGGCGATCCGGTTTTCGCCGGTGAGCCAGCCCGGGACCTTCCCTCCGGTTCGCGGGACGACATACATGAACGAATGGAGCTATCCATGCCCAAGATGAAGAGCCACTCCGGGACGAAGAAGCGTTTCAAGGTGACCGGCTCGGGCAAGGTCACCGCTCGCAAGGCCGGCAAACGCCACCTCAACGAGCACAAGTCCTCGCGCGTTACTCGCCGTCTGACCGGGGAGACCGTGCTGTCCAAGGGCGAGGCTGCCAAGGTTAAGAAGCTGCTCGCTGGTCATCCTGGCCGTTGATGACAGCCGACGTCGCGGCTGACGACGTCCCCCCCAAATCCGTTGGGCGATATCCGCCTCGAACCAATCCGGGATTGACCCCGGGAGATCCAAGGAGAATCACTATGGCACGCGTGAAGCGTTCTGTGAATGCCAAGAAGAAGCGTCGTGAGGTCCTCGATCAGGCCTCCGGTTACCGTGGTCAGCGCTCGCGCCTGTACCGCAAGGCCAAGGAGCAGACCCTCCATTCGGCCACTTATTCGTTCCGTGACCGTCGTGCTAAGAAGGGTGACTTCCGCTCGCTGTGGATCCAGCGCATCAATGCTGCTTCCCGTGCCCAGGGCATGACCTACAACCGTTTCATCAACGGTCTGAAGAACGCTGGCGTCGAGGTCGACCGCAAGATGCTCGCTGAGCTTGCCGTCTCCGACATTAACGCCTTCAACAGCCTGGTCGAGGTCGCTAAGGCTAACCAGCCGCAGAACGCTGCTGCCTGAGATGGCCATGACTGGCGGGCCGAACGACGACTATTTGGGATGGGATCGCATCTCGAAGGGGTCATTGCGTTCGGCCCGTCGTCTTTCATCTCGGCGCGGACGCGATGAGTCCGGGCTGTTCTTGGTAGAAGGTGCGCAGGCAGTTCGTGAAGCCCTAGCATGGCCGGGTAAAGTCAATTTGTTGGCAACCTCGGACCCAGCTCGCGATGCTGAGCATGTCGAGGTGGCTACATGTCGTGGCGTTCGGGTCGTGGTGCTCACTGACGAGGATGTCAATGCGCTTTCTGATACCGTCACCAGTCAGGGGATCTTCGCGGTATGTCGGCAGGTTACGCGTCGTGAGCTGCCTGACGAAGCTGTTCGTCTCGCCGTCATCTGCGCTCAAGTGCGCGATCCCGGAAATGCCGGAACGGTCATCCGCTGCGCCGACGCGTTTGGCGCCGATTGCGTCATCTTGACGCGGGGATCGGTTGATCCACATAACCCCAAGACGGTTCGCTCTTCGGTCGGGTCGATCTTTCACTTGCCCGTCGTTGTCGGTGTCGAGCTGGCCGATGCGGTTGAGTGGGCCCATCAACACCAGATGTCGGTATTGGCGGCTGACGGGGGAGGCCATAGCCTTGACGTCGTTGCTCGGTCAGGATGCCTCAAGCGGCCTATTGCATGGTTGATGGGTAATGAGGCGTGGGGCCTTCCTGAGGCCGATCGAGCTTTAGCTGATGAGATCGTGGGGGTCCCGATGTGGGGGGCCGCCGAGTCTCTCAACCTCTCAACCGCAGCCGCAGTAGTGCTGTACGCCACAGCAAGTGAACAGCGAGCCTGAAGAGTGTAGGGCGCCCGGCCATTGTTGACGGCGTCGACGCCACTAGACTTATGTCCATTAGTCGTACACGTGTGTCCGGAACACGCGCGTTGTCCAACGTCAACCCATCAGGGGGAAGGCCCATGAGTGGCCCCAACACGAATTATGACCCGGTCCAGGTAAGCGCCCTGGACGCCGATCAGGTCGAGGCCCGGGTGGCCGAGGCCTTGGAGGCGATTGCCCGGGCTTCTACTACTGCTGAGCTTAAGCAGGTGCGTATCACTCATACCGGTGACCGGTCTGCGCTGGCTCTGGCCAACCGCGAGATTGGTGCGCTGCCGCCTGCTGCCCGCAAGGATGCCGGTAAGCGCATTGGGCAGGCTCGAGGGCGGGTGAATCAGGCCTTAAAGGCTCGCCAACAGGAACTTGCCGAGGCTGAGCTTGAGGCTCGACTCGCAGCGGAAACCACCGACGTTACGTTACCGGTTGTTACTTCGCCTCAAGGTGCTCCGCACCCGATCACGGCTCTTATTGACAACGTCTGCGACGTGTTCACTGCTATGGGTTGGGAAGTTGCTGAGGGTCCCGAAGCTGAATCCGAGTGGTTCAACTTCGACGCTCTGAACCTTGGCACTGATCACCCGGCTCGTGCCTTGCAGGACACGCTGTGGCTCGACCCGGTTGATGACGGTAAGTGCATGCGCACAGCTACCAGTCCGGTGCAGATCCACACCTTGCTTAAGCAGCAACCTCCGGTGCGCATTATCAGCCCGGGCAAGGTTTTCCGTGCCGATGAGTACGATGCCACTCACCTTCCAGTCTTCCATCAAGTCGAGGGATTGTGCGTCGACAAGGGCATCACCATGGGTCACCTCAAGGGCACCGTCGACGCTTTTGCCCGCGCCATGTTCGGTGCCGTGCGCACCCGTTTCCGTCCACACTACTTCCCCTTCACCGAGCCCAGCGCTGAGGTCGACCTGGAATGTTTCGTCTGTCATGGGGCCTCGGTTGGCAACCCTGATCGTCCGTGCCGCACCTGCCGTTCCGAGGGGTGGATCGAGTGGGGCGGCTGCGGGGTCGTCAACCCACGGGTACTTATTGCCTGCGGTATCGACACGGACGTCTACTCCGGCTTCGCCTTTGGCATGGGCATCGATCGCACGGTGATGTTCCGCAACAATGCCCCCGACCTGCGCGACTTCGTCGAGGGTGACGTTCGATTCAGCCGCTCACTGAGGGGAGGAGCACGATGAAGGTTCCTATGTCATGGCTGCAGGCCATGGTTAATCTGCCAGACGGCACCACTACTGACAAGGTGGCCAAGGCGCTGACCAACCACACAGCGACCGTTGAGAAGGTCGAGGTCGTTGGTGGGGAGCTGACCGGCCCGATCGTGATCGGACACATTCTTTCTTCGGTTCCCGAACCGCAGAAGAACGGCAAGGTCATTAACTGGTGCCGGGTTGACGTTGGCCCCCGCTATAACGCAGAGGGACATCCTAAGAACATTGAGGAGGGGGTCGAGGGCCGCGGCATCATCTGTGGCGCTCCCAATGCCGTCGAGGGAGCCTGGGTTGTCGTCTCTCTGCCTGGCGCCGTGCTCCCCGGCGGATTCGCCATTAGTGCCCGAAAGACGTACGGCCACATGTCTGACGGCATGCTGTGTGCCTCCGACGAGTTGGGTATCGGTGTCGACGACGCCGGCATCATCACCCTGCCACCATCGGTGGAGGGTCACCAGCTCGTTCCCGGCGAGGACGCCTTGCCGATTCTCGGGGTCCCCGAAGAGGTCCTGGATGTTGACGTCACTCCAGATATCGGCTACTGCATGTCGATGCGCGGCATCGCCCGCGAGGTGGCGCACGCCATGTCGGTACACTTTCGCGATCCTTACGACGAGGAGCCCATCGGTCCGGTGCTGGGTCCCGTTGCTGTGGACGTCCAATCTGACGCCTGCAGCCAGTTCATCGCTCTGCCGGTCAGTGGTATGAACCTCGGCGCTCCAACGCCCCGGTTCATCACCGACCGTATCACCCGTGCCGGGATGCGTCCGATTAATCTGGTTGTCGACGTTACCAACTACGTCATGTTGGAGTCTGGTCAGCCGCTTCATGCCTATGATGCCGACAACGTCAGCGGGACGATTGTGGTCCGTAAGGCCCACGAGGGTGAGCATCTATTGACCCTCGACGACACCGATCGCACCCTCGATCCTGACGATCTAGTCATCGCCGACGACTCGGGAGCCATTGGCCTGGCTGGCGTCATGGGTGGTGCGGCCACCGAAGTGACTGCTGAGACGACGTCAATCATCCTCGAGGGCGCTCACTTCGACCCGATGACGGTCGCTCGTGCTTACCGACGCCACAAGCTCGGTTCGGAGGCCTCCCGCCGCTTTGAGCGGGGCGTTGATCCGATTTGCGCCCATACCGCAGCCGTTCGCGCAGCGGAATTGCTCGCCCAGTACGGCGGTGCCACCGTCGGTGAGCCCACCGTCGTTGGTGAGGTCCCCGAGATGCCACGTCAAACGATCAACGCTGATTTACCTAACCGGATTCTCGGCACGAAGGTGCCAACTGAAGAGGTCATCGAGATCTTGACGCGTTCTGGGGTTAAGGTGACCGCATTGGGGGACTCCCTTCACCTTGTTGCCCCGACTTGGCGTCCTGACCTTGTCGATGCCTACGACTATGTTGAGGAGATCGGCCGCAAGATTGGGTTTGATCGCATCAAGGCTGTTCTGCCCCCGAGCTTGGGTGCTAGCGGTCTGACGAAGGCTCAGCGGGGTCGTCGTCGGGTGCTGCGTTCAGTTGTCGAGGCTGGGTTCGTCGAGCTCATCACCTTGCCATTCATCGGGGATAAGGATCTCGACGTTCTCGGCATTAGCGGTGATGACACGCGTCACGCAACTGTCAAACTTGCCAATCCGCTTGACGATACTCGCCCCTACCTACGCACTACGTTGTTGCCTGGTCTATTCCATGCAGTAACGACGAATATGTCGCGATCTCAGGATGATCTTGCAGTGTTCGAAAGCGGAACTGTATTCCGCGCCGTCACTCCGGCTGCGGCACCGCGTCCCGGTGTCGACGAGCGCCCCTCCGATGAAGTCCTTGCCGAGATCGACGCCGCCTTGCCAGCCCAGCCGCGCATGCTCGCGGCCGTGATCTGTGGCAGCTGGCTGCCCGATCGCTGGGATGGAGAGTCGGTCAAGGCTGACTGGCGACACGCTGTGCTGGTCGCCCAGAAGGCTGCTGATGCTCTTGGCGTGAGGCTGGTGCGCAAGGCTGACCGTCAGGCTCCATGGCATCCCGGTCGTTGTGCGGCTCTCATCGTCGATGGGAAGGTCATTGGCCATGCTGGTGAGTTGCACCCCACAGTAGTGTCGAAGGCTGGTCTGCCTCAGCGCACCTGTGCGGTCGAGTTCAATCTAGATGCTTTGGTAGCTGCGGCTCCGCGCGGTGGTGAGGTCATGGCTATTTCAAGCTTCCCGGTCGCCAAGGAGGACGTTGCCCTGGTCGTTGATAAGTCTGTTGCTGCAGAGGATGTTCGGCAGGCTCTCATCGAGGGAGCGGGACCGTTGCTTGAGTCCGTCGAGCTTTTCGACGTCTACGAGGGCGAGCAGGTGGGTGATAACCGCAAGTCGTTGGCTTTCAACCTGCGGCTGAGGGGAGCTGACCGAACCTTGACCGACTCTGAGGCCCTCGAGACTCGTGACGCTG